CTCGTCAGCCATGGCTGATCTGCACGCGGTTTCGTAGAGCATGACTCATAATTCAGGGTTCTCCTTGTCGTCATACTTCTGAAGTTTTTCGAGCTTGAAGTTCTTGGGCCATATGACTTGGCGAAGGTGCGGAGTAAACTGCTTCAAACCCAGCGGGCCTTGGGTAGTATCATATTCCATACGACGATAGCTTTCGTGGGATGCACGATCGTTGGCTCTCTGGTTGATGCGATCACGCAGATCACGTCCTCCGAGGTAGTGGCGGAGATCGTTATTACCATCACGGCGATCTCGGTTGCCATCCAGATTAGCCCTACGACCGTGGTTGTCGCGACGGTTGTCATCTCAGACGTTGCGGCGATTGTCCTGTCGACGGCGGTTGTCATCTCGACCGCCATCATGGCCACCGTTTCCGCCTTGACGGTTGTCTGATGGGTCATTGTTGCGTGAGCCATGTAGGTTGGGTGGCTGTGAGCGGCTTGAGTACTGGCGGCTGTGGCTTGACTTGACTGAGACGGAGGGAGCCCGGGCTTGATTTACAATCTCTACGGTCTGGGCCATAACAGCCATCAGATAGGCTTGTATTTCATCGCGAACTGCCTGAGTTTCCGGGGTATTAGGTAGCCGTTGCATTGTCGCCATAGAGACGACTACGTTGGCGCTTGGAGTCCTGAAGACCTGTTTGTCCCCCACCCTGTCGAAAGCATTGTTGAGGTCACGTGGCTGGACCCTTATGCGTCGTGCCTCCTCTTCTGCTTCAGCTTCGATTTGTCGACGATTAAACCAGTCAATATTACATGCTTCGCGTGCAATCCTTTCCTATTCTGTTTCGCCGACTGCTGGTGGTTCATCATTACTGACAACATTGATCAAATCCCCTCGTCTTGGTGGGAAGGACGGGAATTGTGGGAACCCCGGGATGTGGTCTAGGATATCCAGATCGTATTTGACGCCTTCATCATCGTGACGCTGGAGCTCAGTGTGGTCGGAGGCATTAGATGCGATGCCAGACGAGGAGCTGGAGTCACCCTCTTGGACTGTGTGGACGGATCCTTCTTGATAATCCTCAATCCGGACCATGTTGACGAAATTTCGTGGCTTCGACTGAGGTCGACACAGATCCAAGCGGCGTTTTATATTATACGCGTAGTTGGAGGCAGCGTTTCACAGGCCATAGGGCTGGGCCTGGTAGTTCTCCGTCAAGGCTTTGTACTCGGAGAGCTGGAGACCCGTCGCGGAGGCTGGCCGGCGACGAGCGGAGCGCCCTTCAGGAGTAGATATGACCACGAGATCTGTACCAAGTCGTGCAGGAGGACTAGCCCGAGCCGGTCGGGTAGATCTGTTGTGGGAAGCGGTTACCTGCTCATTGGGTCCACTTTGAATTGAACTTACCAGAGCTAGGGTTTCAGCGAGCTTGGTGCCGACCCGATCGATGGAGTCGAGCAGGTCGGTATTGTAGATCTGCCTCCCTTTGTAGCGGGGAAGCGAACGACGGATTGTCGGCGTGGCTGAAAGCGATACGGGCGTGGTCGGAGCCAGATCCACCGTGGTCGGAGCTAGATCCACCGTGGTCGAAGCCAGATCCACCGTGGTCGAAGACAGATCCTTTGTGGTTGGAGTCGTATCCACCGTGGTCGGAGCCGTAGCCGATGCAGGTGAAGCAGCGGTCGACGCAGATTGAATCCGCGCCTCCTCCGTGATCGTGGCGATGAAGTCGTCGGAGCCGGTGGTCCAGGTGATCTGACCGATGGTGAACGTGAGGCCGTTCGGCGTAGCCATGAAGCCGGGGATGATGACCATCTTGTTCGCTTGGAGAGCAGTACGCACACCCCCTACCTGGCGCGCCACTGTCGACGAAATATGGTCGGCAGTCTACCCAGGGGTATGCCCAAGGTAGTAGATTGTCGGCAGACAGATGCGCAAGCCACAAACAAGATGGTGACGCAAGACACACGAGGTTTTATCCAGGTTCGGCCGCCAAGAAGGCGTAATACCTACGTCCTGCGTCTGATTGTATTGCTGTATGTCAATGAGAGATGTTTTTTAGAGGGGTCCCCTGCCCGCCTTATATAGTCCGAGGGGCAGGGTTACAGATCTGGAAACTAATCCTAGTCAGTTACAATTGCCATAGGTGACCGGATAAGGATTCCTATTCTAACCGACCGAGATCTTGCTTGATCGCCAAATCTGTCTTGACTCCTTGCGCGGGACTCCGAACAGGTTGGCCGGGCCGCGCGTCGTCTTTTGGTGGACCGGACCCACTGATCCGGGCCGGCCCAATCTTAGCCGTAAGGGTATAGGGGTTAATACCCCCACAGGAGGTGGCACAGCGCGGCAGGTCGTGGAGTCGGTGGCGCATCCCGCGGTTCGTCGGCATCATCGGCGGCGGCGTGTTCCGCGTGCGTCATCGGCAGCGTGTGGCGTTTGTGGGAGGGCGGGGAGGCCTCGTGGTGTCAAGCAGCCTCAGGTTTGTATTAGTCAACTTGAGCTCACACAGTCACGCTACTCACAAAGTCTACAATGGAGAATAGACTGGTTCATACTTCAGAGAAAGGATAGATAATAAGCCAATTATAAACAATATGACAGCTTATAGGGGGTAAGAAAATGGTTTCCAGATAGCATATCTCACATTCAAAAGACCACAACTCAAACACATAAACAGGTAATTCTTATTTCTGACAAGATATATACATGTTGTCTTCCAAATCAAGCCTATAAGCAGATGCTTCTATTTGGATAATTGTAGTCCGCATGAACAGCAAGAAACATACATGATTAAAAAAATACAATTAGAAAGAAAAAATAATAGAACAAAGAAGAGGGAGTATACTTGTGGTGTTGAAAGAATTTCAGCATCTTGCTTGCAGAGTTTCGAATGGAGAAGCACAAAATATATTTTTCTAGAAGCACGCTTCACTCATATCGGTAGAGCAAAGCTCAGTCCTGAGGTATGACAGGCTTGGCACCAGGCGCTCTATAGCAACTACATGTCCATACCGTGCATACAGTTCAAAATCTAAAAATATAGAAGCATATCAAATGTAGGTGTAAGAAACTAACGAAATCAATCTGGTATGGTAAGGAACATTGGACATGCATCATACATGAAGGACTGCCATGCAAAATTGTGTCAGCTCATTCAACTTACAGATGTTGAACCTATAATTGTCAACTCCAAAAACAACTCTGACCCGGTTGCAAGTTTGAGCAAAAGTACAGTCAACATTGACAGCAGTGTCACAACCAGTTGCAAACAACACTTGCCCAGCAAAACCTTTGTAAATATAAGCAAAATATACTCAATTCCAACATAAACAATGATGACTAATGATGACTTGAGTTCAGATGCTAAATTAAGATGAATAGATGTAGTTACACTTTTGAAACCGTAATTTCAGTAGTAAGAGAACACTGTATTGTAGACAAACAAGCTTAAGCAACTAAGGTTAACCCTCAGATTCTCCCCTTATCCACTACTACTGCAACAAAATGAGCACACAATTACACCAAAACAATCGGTTCAACCATCTATGAATCAAAGCAACAAAATAAACAGTTCAAGCACTCTGATCTGATGCCGCTTGCTCTTACCATCCGTGTGTTGCTCATCAACAAACAAGGGGAAATCAAGCTGTCTTCGGATGCTTTGAGATGTTACTGACGAACACCACTACCTCCTCAGTCACACCGACCGCCTCACCCTCTTCCTGCTCCCCCTGATCCCCAGGCCCGAATGGCAGGAACGACGATGCGATCCTGGAGATCTCCGCCACCGCGCCAGCGTTCAACAACATCGAGATGCCAGTCTTCACCCTGCCCCTAATCTCTGCCAGGTCACTTCGGACCCCTTCGATCTGTGGGGACTGAGGCACCTCCTCCTCTTCCTCCTATCAACTGCCGGTGGCGCGAGGAAGGAGGCAACGCCCCAGAATCGGCGGGTGAGGGACTCGGTCAGCTCCGAGATATCGCCCTTAACGCCGTAGACTTACGACCCAAAGTTGATTGGAGCGGGATCGCGGGAGGGGATGGAGCGTGATTGGAGGGATGGATCGCGACCAGGCGGGCGCCGGGGAAGCGAGCGACGCGGGGGGCGAGCGCTCGCGTGGGATCGCACGCGGCAGGCCGACGACCCGAAGGCAATTGTCGCACAAAAAATGTCCACTCTTTAGTCTTTTTAGTTGTGAGAGATTATAAAAAATAATGTATTGTAATTGTAATAGGAGAATATATAATGTGTAATTATTTGATATTATAAATCTTAGTATTGTTTATAGATTTAGTCAAGTTAAGTTTATTTGACTTCTTAAAGTGTGAGATGTACTAGTTTTAGGACGGAGGGAGTATATTGATAAAAAAAATAGATAAAAAATTCATATATATATAGAGAGAGATAAAACTTATCTCTACTTTCCATGGAAGTACGGAACCTCCCCAAAAGCAGGGGAAAAAATTATATGGAACTGTATCCATGGTTGCCCATACATATATGCATAGTTGCGTGACACGTGTTGGTCTTTACGGTACATGTGGACATGCGGTGGATAGGTGTGGCCGCGTGAGTGAGCCTGGCTAAAGCCGAGTCTATTTTAGCATATGATCACTCCTTAGTTAGCGTTGGATTGTTAAGGTCCAACACGTGTCAGATATCTCGCGCTATGTATGCCTCCTGCAGCCGTGGATACCATATGCATATAATTTTTTTCCAACGCAACCTTATTCGCTTCGTTGAAAAAACAAGCTAAAACACTGTTTCGACTGATTTATCGGAGGAGAAAAATGGTGTTCTACTTAAAAAAACAAGTGAAAACTATGGATTATCACAAGCGAACGGCGCCGCAGAATAAGCAGGCTCTCCGTTTTCTTCCTTCCCTGCCGAAGCGCTCCGTGCGCCCCTTTTTGTACTACTAGAGAAGTTCTCGAAGCTTCTCGAAACATTGCTCCGTCCCCTCCTTCGGCCAAACCCCAGATCCCGAAGCCCCAGACCAGCACCGCTCCGCATGGACCATCCGTGGCGCTTCCCCGCGGGCGCCGGCACCGGCGCCGACCTCTGCCCGGTCTGTTGCGCGCGCCACTTACCCTTCTGCCCGCCGCCGCCTCTCCCGCCGCATCCCTTCCCCTACGACCTCCAGCCGCCGCCACCCCCTCCCCCACCGAACCCCTTCCCATACGACTTCCACCCGCCGCCGCCACCGCCGCCGATGTGGGGCCCTCCACCTCCCGGGCTGCACGACCCGCGTCCCTACGAGCTCCCCGGCTGGGAGGGGCCTCACAAGCGGATGCGCGTGGGCGAGGCACCACCGTTCGATCCGTACGACTTTGTGCCTCCGCCGCCGCCGGGAAGGGCTTCTGTGGAGGGCGACCGGCTGCTCGGCCTGATCCGGGACCATGGCCGCAATCCACTTCCTGGTTGCCCACCTGACGGCGGCTTTGGTTACGGAGGAGGTAGATTCTATCCCCGGCAAGGAGGTGGTTTCGCGGATTTCGACCACAAGTTGCCACCTCCCGTGCCGATTGAAGACAGGCATAATGGCTTCGGTCAAGGTTTTATGCCCGAAGAAGGCCCTCACCGGAAGTATTTTGACGGTGCTAATCACCATTTCCATCAGTTCCACCCAGAGGCATTTCCTGGTGTGGCGCTGCACCCTCCACTGCCTCGCTATCCTGAGGCAGCCAATCCCCATGGTTCACATGCTTGGCATCTTGAGGCTGGCGCTGTGCCACTGCCAGCAGAGCCTCCATTCCCCTCTAACCAGGATTACCGTGCTGCACCGCCACGGCCGACTGCAAATTCGTCATTGTTTCCTGTCCTTTCTGGTTCTCCAACAACAGAAATTATTCCATCGACCGCTCATACCTTACCTCAAGCTCATCCGATGCCAAACACAAACCGTTATGATGGACACATCAACGATGAGGTGCCTCTATGCTTTCAGCACCTATATGTTTTAGAAGTTTAGGATGGCAGATGGCTTATTCTTACATCAAAAGCGTTGACCACTGTTTGCTTATTCACTAACAGGGGCCAGGTTTCATTTATCGACCGCAGTCAGAGCAGAACTTGATAGATGGAAGGCCGACCAGTGCACATTATTCTCTGGAAAATTCCAAAGTCACGATCATCAATGCTTGTGATTTGTTCAAGCCGCCCCTTCGTGGTTCACGCCCTGATCATATTGTTATCATCCTCAGAGGGCTTCCAGGTTTACTTGAAATACTGTTGACTTTCTTATCATTGTATTATTGACAAAAATAATTGCATGCAAATTAAATAATATTTATTAATTTCAACTTCCTAAATGATTATGATAGCGGTTCCTACATCATAGCATGGAATGAAAACAGTGTCATACATTAGCGCTTTTACATTATGGATGAGGATGAAATCAGCACACTTTGTTCTGTTCTTTTAAACTGGCAATTTGTAAAGTTCATATTGCATATGTGGTTTGCATAACTGAATGATATTGGCTTTATAATGTCCCAAATTATCAATTTTTGTATTCAATAAAGTTATTTCACAAATCCGCAGTTAGGTTGTCTTTCACTATGGTTGTGAACTATAATTCGTACAAAACTGTAATATGTAGGTAGTGGAAAGAGTTATCTGGCAAAGGCATTGCGCGATCTTGAAGTTGAGAATGGTGCAAATGCGCCTAGGATCCACTCCATGGATGATTATTTCATGATTGAAGTTGAGAAGGTCAGCAGGGATTGGAGACTACTGTTCTTTCCAATATTGATTTAGTTTGTGTAATGATTGTCTTAATCTGGGTAATCTGGCCAATGTTCTCTTAGAAAGTGGAAGACACTGAAGGCTCAAAATCTTCTAGTGCATCAAAAGGGAGGAGGCAGTTGACCAAGAAAGTGATTGAGTATTGTTATGAGCCGGAAATGGAGGAGGTGATATTACTTTCAACAACTCTGTAATTCTTTTTATCTTGTCATATGCACCTGCAAACTCGAGCTCGTTACATTAGCAAAGCTATTACACTCAAATGCTATCATTTTTAAAAATATGCAAAGCTAATTGCCTAGTCATTCAACTTTTCATGGTGATGCTTCTTTGTTGATACTAGGAAAAGGAATTTTAAGGTATCTTTGAATATACGATGCCCAATGATAACATTTTAAAAATTAAAAATGAATCATATGCTGCCCTTCCAGAACATCAACATATAGAATTAGGTCCATTTTGAGGCCTTCTCTGGGCAGGCTTTGAATATAAAGTTACAAATAACTTTTTTTCGGTTTCAACTCAGTCCTTGCTACTTAATTTTGTTTCTGTTCTTTTTGGCTGTTTATCAGCTATTATCTAAACCCGTATTGTCATTGCTGATTTTTTCTGTGTATTTCATAGACGTACAGGTCAAGCATGTTGAAGGCATTTTCAAAGACCCTTGACGAAGGAAATTTTACATTTGTGATTGGTATGAAGTTATTTAGAGCAGCTTATACCTCAACCATACTTCCCAATTCCCATATGTAGTATTTTCTTCTCGTGGTTGTCTCTCCAATATTTTGGAGGCCACATATAGTTGCCTTCAAATTTCATGGGTTAACGAAAAACTTTACCGGGCTTATTTTTCCCTCTTTCACACCATCAGTGCTACATATCAGCAGTCAACACCTTCATGTACCAGTGGAAGATATTCCTTTTCTTTTCAGCAATCAGAAAATTTTTTATTCTCTTTTGGTTGGGTCTTCAGTTATGTGCTGCTTTGTTTCCAAAAGTGACAGGATGGATAACTTAAAATTTGGACAGTGCCCACTTTTGTTGGTACTTCATGATATTTTGTATTGTTTAAAACTTCAATTTTAGTAACACTTTAGCTGCCCTAGCAAAATTCAGCGGTTGTGCACCAAGAGATGCCTTCAATTCCAACGGCTGATGCTGTGTTTCTGGTAACTGACTTTGTTTACTGCTGATATTCCTGGCCGTTTTAGTGGATGACCGCAATCTGCGGGTAGCTGATTTTGCTCAATTTTGGGCAACTGCGAAGGTAAACCCTCAGTCTCTGATGTGTTGACTACAAGATTACTTTGCTTATGGATTTCTTCTTTTTTGGGGTTTAACCCATTAAAGAGGTGCCACTTGCTTGAAAATAAAAATTCACCTCCAAGGAGATGATATATTTTTCTTTTCCTAAAAGGTATTATATCCTGTGGAATACTTTTATCTCATTACAAGGAACAACCCTTCAATTGTTATTTTTCTTTTTAAGTGTCCTCATGCTTGTGTAATTTTATCCTGCTCCCTCCATGTACTTGTTGGTTGTTACCCTTACTGTATCATTTTGTATGGTAGCTGGCTTGTTTTCCATTAGCATTTTTCTTATGTGCCGAGTAGTACTTGTTTTTGCTATTGAGGTGCCTTTGGCTTTCGTTCGTGTTCTCTTTGATTGGTGCAGTAGACCATAGTTCTACATGGCCAGAATCAACTACCGCACTGCTGAAGAAAGCAATGATTGCTGGTTTTGTTGGTCTGAAGTGTATTTTGCATTTTTGAGTATAACTTGTTGAGTGCTATTTTGTGAAAGCTATTCAAAGTATATATTTCAGTGGAATAATCTTGTTTTTGTTAGATAATATTGACGTTTCAGGAGCTACTCTTGCATGCTGTTTTGAATTTCATTTCTTTTTAATTAATGTCTCATCTCATTTCATAGCGAAATCATCCTGATAGTGTTCTGATTCCTATTCTCTCTTTTGCAGAAATCAGGCTATGAGGTGTACTTGCTGGAGGCACCATACAAGGATCCAACGGTAATTGCTGCAGTATTGCCAATCATAAGTCCGCTCACTGTTAAATATGTATTTAGATGTTTGGTAACCACCTACTTTGTCATGCTTGGAGCATTGGATGAACCTAGCATGTCTCATTTCCCTTTTTTGACATAACTACATGATATTATCCACCAAATCTTCTAGTGTGTACTGGTCCTAATCAATCATGCACATTCAAGTCTGGAAATTAGATTAATTGGAGGTGGGCAGAAATTTTGCCAGAATGTTGTATCTTCATAATTTCAGTTACTGTTCTTCAGTGAAATCAAGTAGATTATGTGTTCCAACTTCAGTAAATTGTATACCTTTGCTTAGGGCAGTCCATAGAGTATTTTACTGGTTTACAGTAGCAACCATACAAAAGTTTGTATATAGGCACCAACAATAACCTTTCTGCTATTGGGTTTTGAAACCTTTTACTAATTGGATACTGTTATGAAGGATTATCTTGTATATAATTCTTCACATGAAAGTAATACATGCATCTTCAGAATTGCCATTCCTTCTATTTTGTATCTCTACTTTTCTATTTACTGGATTAACTAAGAGTCATAAGATTGCTTTTCGTTATTGCAGTTACCTCATTGTTAACTATATCATAGCAGGTGTTTGATATCCTTATGAATAACAGGGCTGTGCTGCAAGGAATGTGCACGGATTTACATTGGATGAGATAAAAAAGATGGCAGCAGACTGGGAGGAGGCTCCACCACTGTATCTGCAGCTAGATATACATGTATATTTCTTGCCATTATTTATAGTTGCAATTAAGAACAACTATCACGTGCATGCTTATCATGTCTCTCATCATTGACTATCCTTATTTCTCAGTCATTGTTCCATGATGATGACTTTCGTGGCCATTCTATACAAGAGGTAATTATATTCTTTAGTTGCTTTTAGGTAGATTGACATGTTAACGATTTTTGTTCTGTCAAATAGGTAGATATGGACACTGAGGATGTTGATGATGCTAATGACACAACTAGCATCATTGCTGAGAACTCGCAGAAGGCTGTACAGGATCCACCATATGAAGGTACACCTTTATACATTTCTTTCATTGTTGACCTAGGATGTCACTGGACATAGCATGTCTGCTTAATATTCACCTCAATTACGAGGAGGCCTGTAATGCACAAAACTTTATTAATTGGTTAGATGTATACCACCTTTTCAAGGCAGAGTTTGTGATGTACTAGGATAATGATTTAGGCCCTGTTTGGTTGGGCTTTTGGCTGTGGCTTTTGCCCCCAAAAACCAAAAGCTCAACCAAAGGGCCCAAAAGCCACATGTGCTTTTGCCTAAAAGCAGCTTTTAGCATAGTACAAATCCAAAAGCACCTCTCCCTCTGCTTTCACTGATTTTTGGGAGAAAAAATTACCCACCTGCCACTGGTTATGAAAGGTAACGGTTCGTTTTTTTCCTTCGCAACTTTTTCTTTCCTTTCCGCGTCGTCCCCGAACCGCATCTGGGCGACGCCGCTCCTCCCTGTCCGACCGGTGGAGGCGCCCCGGCGACCCCTCCTTCCTCCGGCAGCAGCTTCTCCAGCGGCGGTCCCTCTCCCCCTCCGGTGAGCAACTTCCCCGGCAGCAACCCCTCTCTCTCCTGCGAGCTGCTTCTCCGTGGCGGACCCGACGAGTTCGTCCAGTCGCGCGGTCCAATCGCGCCTCCTTCCCCGGCAACCCCGCGACCCCGAAGGCCAAGACTGAGCTCCGGTCCGGTGCGACAGCCGCCGCGGCTCTTGCTGGCGCGGGTCGGGCCCCGTCCCCAGCTCCGGCGAAGGACTGTGACCCCGCGTCAAATTAGGTTCCCAACGCGCAGCCACCGTCCGGCGGGCGCGGCCTGCCCCTGCCGTCGCCGCCAGCCCCAGCGGTTGGGTGAGCGTGGCCATCCCCGTGTCTAGAGGAAGAAGAAGCCTTGCTGTCTATGACATGTGGGGTCCGCTCGTAAGGGGAGAAGCTTTTCCAAAAGCCACCTGTGTCTAACCAAACGGGCTTCCAGATCACATTCCAAAGCGGCTTTTCCAAAAGCCACAGCCCACAGCAGCTTTTTCAAAAGCTACAGTTCAACCAAACAGGGCCTTAGGGGATCGACCAAGTTTGTACTTCTTGATACGCTCATATTCACTTTGTCAATTTAGCTATATATACTATGGGAATTTTAATTGGAAAAAGGGGTGTGGATGTGCTGTCAAGAATTTGAATCTGCATGGAAACAGGCCTTCTTTTGTAGTGTCATCTAGTGCATTCTTGTGTACAGCTAGTATATATATATTCCATGTGCTCAGTTAAGATTGACATCACATTGAGGTTTTACAAATAGTTAAATAATTGTCTGCAGGCTTCTCAAAGCTAGGGGAGAAGTGGAACTCAGAAGTAGAAGATGACCTGGATGGCTTAAAAGAGCTAGGACAGAGTAAATGGTCAAAAGAGTTTGAGGATGACACTGAAAAGTCTAAAGATACAGAGGAAAACACACATGCTCTTTCTGGCCTGGCCCGGACATATAGCACTGGACGCAAGAGAGTCAGTTGGGGTGATCGGGTATGCTTATGTTTCAGTGTGAACTTTATACGTTGGCACTCTTGTACTTTGTTTGTGCTATTTTCTCAAAATAGTTGGGTAGTTATCATCTTTATTGAAATGTGCTTCTAACTGCTGAGCTAAAACATATATATAGTTTACTAGTTGGACATATTTGTTCAGTTATTTCTCGCATAATATGGCATTTCAGAGATAGAACTCAATGGCCAAGCTTATTATACTGTTTATGTTGATAAGTGCTCATCCTTCATCTTATTTACTTTTGCAGCTTGAAAAGGGTGGGTTTTCCATTTCTGCAACTAAAAGAAAACTTACTTCGTCACTAGTCATAGGGCCTGGATCTGGGTACAATTTGGTAAGTATCGACTCTGCCAACTTTTTGACATTTAGTCAGTAACACCTCAACTTTCTGCTGTTATACATCATTTGGCTACCATCTGTTATTGTAAAAGCCACTTCTATGTTGTCCATACTATTTTATTTCATCTTGAAAAGGTGAATTCTGCCATCATGGGAATATGGAATGGTGAAATAGGACATTATTATAAAGGAGCAGTGTAGTCTAGTCTAAGGAATGACTTTGTTTTACTTTGCTTACAATATTCTATGTTTGATTCTGTTGGGACTTGGTGCTCTGGTCTCAACCAATGATTTATATTCTTCGTTTGTGTGCCATGATCCAATGTTACAAGCTATGATCGTTCTCACTGCTTCCAGTGAGCTGCACCTCTAGCAAACTTGTAAGCATAGAACTGTATCTTGCAGGTCTCCAACCCCTTGGCTGAAGATGATTCCATAGGGACAAAAGGGAAGACAAACAACGAGACCAAAAGACGGTTCAGTGAACAACTTCGTGTTGAAGGTGAATCCTTCAGGGCAGTTTTTGACAAGACAAAGCAGCGCATTGGAGTTTTTGAGAATGGAGAGGAGGAATAATCCTTGACTAGAGGTTCTTTTAGTTGTTTGTCCTTCAGTGTTTTGGATGCCCAAGATGACTTGGGAGGGGACTAGTGCAGACAGCTTGGAGTCAAGTCACAATTTTGAGATCCATATTCCATTGTCCAATCGCCTTTGTCAAGGGCGATGAGCAATAGTTCCAATGTGCCGTTCAGTGAAAGCAATGCGGTCCTGTAAGTAGATATAGGTGACAAATTTTTGTTCCACGGGCTTGGCCTTACAAGGGCAACCCAAACATGCCACAAGGATGCACTGTACCTATGTATCAGCCACGCTGAATAGTGGCCAGTAGTTTTTACATTTTTCTGTTAGGAGGTTGTTACAATGAGAAACTATTCGACTCTTGTTTTTTAAAAGAGAAATGGTGGAGCTCTGCCTTGCATTTAAGTAGGATTGAAAAAAAAAGAATGAGGCAGTCTACCGGAGTGGCCTACAGAACTCACTCAACGAAGTACAATGAATGAAGCTCAACACAAGAAAAACTCCGAAGCCTCCCATTACAGGTTTTGGAAAGCACGACGTCTGTCTTTTTTTTTTTTTTTTTTTGCTCGAATCGCAACTGCTAAGGTGTGCATTTTTAAAAATCCGTTGGTTTCTCTCTTTTCACAAGTTTCACTCTATGTAGAGGCATGCATATCTCATTGAATTTTTTATTTTCCTGTTTTGGCACTGTCTTTACAACAAATTCTCACCAGTCAGAAATGGAGTAAATCAGCCGCTTGAATATGCAAGGTTAGAGGGGAATTCTTGCTGGTTCCGTTTTGGCAGTGTCTAAACAATTGAACAATTGTTTACAGCTGATCTTGCTGGTTCCGTTTGCCAGCTAGTTAGCTGATCTTAGCTGGTTCCGTCTGCAGATAGTTTCTCTCGACACTGTAACGCGTTTTTCACTCTTTTATCGTAAAGCTGTTATTTCATTCAATTCTAAGATGCTGTCATCATCACCGAACGGAGATGGCCAGATGAGTTTGTACTCTGTAGCCTTCCGGGCATAGCGGTAACGCTGGACCCGAACGTTTCTATGCTACTTGTATTGCATATGATACGAAATATTCCTAATTGTCGACTCTCCATTAAATCGCTCATGTCATGACTTTCTACATCCTAAGTCTCCGTATTCCGTCATTTGGCTTATGTTGTTCATATAACATTCAAATCGAATGACTATATGAGTAACGTAGAAGGTTTATGTTGTTCATATAGCATTCGGACCGAATCTATATATTACGGGTAACGTAGGAGAGATCCCTATTTTCATCCGAGATCTTAAGTACCACAGTTTATCTTTCAATTCATCTTTGACCATCAAATTAGTGTGAATAACCCGGCCTCTTCTTCTCTATGAAACAATAGACGTTTTGGTTTTGTGCGTGCTTCAAACAATTTTGCCTTCTCTATGATTGCAAGCATAATCGCTGCCTATTTGTTGAGCTAGCATACTCTTTGAACACGGCCGTTCTCAAGCCTCCCTCAATGTTAAAATCTTCGTTTTCAATTTTGCTATCTGATAAACACTACATAAAGTCGTAAAAAAGGTTTAATAGTGACACGCTGTTTTTTTTATCACTAGTGACACGATGTTACCTGTAATAATGATAGGTCCCGTGCCTATGACTATGAGTGTCGGTCAATAGTGATGGGCAACAACGATAACCCATTACTGTAGGATGCCATATTTGGCCTAAGGAGGCATGAAACTCGTCACTAATGAGAGGACTAAAACTAAAAGTGACGGACGTTTAAATTTATGACTAAAACCCGTTACTCTTCTTTGAGCCAAGACATAAATTTCTAACACCCCCCCTCCAATTTTAGCTCAATAGTGTCAGTTTTTTCTCTTCGTTATGATGACCCTTTCTCTAGGCAATCTCACTACTCTACCAGGAAACAGGAGCCCAGAATTCTTGTAGTGAACCCAAGTCTCAGGTTATCCAGAACCTGCTTGGTGACTTGAATCCAGCCTCCGCTACACATGTTTTAATTTATTGGCTCTACAAACTTGTGTGACGGTTGTCATTTGCATAAAATGTCTCAGGGCAAGAAGGCCAAGCACTTATCCACACATGAAATGAGTCAAGTACCGTCTTGAAACAAATATCATAGTTGACGCAAAGTGCGCTCGCATCCTTGTAGATAAAATTGGTGCTAGGTCATGGGTCCAGGGATACATTCCAAGGCCCAAGCACCTAACTTAGGCCATGGCTTGCCATTAATCTCCAAACCTTTTACGCGCATCCGACCTAGTCGGGGCTAAACAAGTGGCTGTTGACCAGGTCCCTGGTCCGGCAATGCACCGTCTGGGATCTACCTCTATACAATGAAAGTATGAAACTCGACTTGGCGCCCACAGACTTACTCTGTGTTCGGCGCGTGGTTGTGCCGGTCGGGTCACTCCTATGCCCAAGGAGGTGGTCTTCCGTCCGTCTTCCTTCTAGTCTTACTAGGTCTGTGCCCAATAACAACCCTAGGTATATAACCTCAAATCCTCAATCCCTCTCACCCTCTCCCTCACTTGTAGCAGCTAGCGTCTGACTCTGAACATATCTCTGTTAATCACAATTTGCACAGGCAGGCTACATTGCCTGCCTTTGTAGAAAAAAATGGCACCCGCCGCAAAGCTTGCTCGTGAGCCTTGTGTTGAGCCCGTAGTGTTGGCATCTTGGGCCACCACCAGCCATGCATCATCGAGCCCATCATGCAACCTCACAGTGACTTGGCCACGTCAAGCTCCTCCTCCTCCCTCGAGTACTTCATATGTAACCGTACGACATGAGCTCTTCTATTTGCTGGATCTGCATGTATGTCAACATGTAGAAGGCATACATGCAAGGTAGATCAAATCACTCACTTGGAGGTGATGTCCCGTGCTCCAAGTCTAGGTGCCTCGTGATATTCCCACGGGAACTGATGCAGCCTCGTCATCGTTGGCACCATCTTCTAGGGCCACATTGTGTCGGAGCTGCCCCTCCCTTACGCAGTCCATGCATCATTCGTGGCCAAAGAAGCGACTATGAACATCACCTGGTCCTAGTGCAACGAGAAGGCCAAACTAGGAACCTCCCTTCGACCTGCCGTGCATATCAAAATCTATCGAGGGTAGCCGATAGCGTGTGAGAAGGAGGCAATGATGAGGGTGTGACACAAAGATCCTGACCATGGCTAGCCCTCTTGGTGGCAGAGAGATGCTTGATGTTGGGGGAGGCGACAATAGATGTCTCGCTCGGATTGGGGCACTCAAGATCTTGGCCATCCAAATCTGCATGGGCGGTGCCGTCCGAGAATGAGGGGAGGGGGAGCTAGGGCGACGAAGTTGAGGCCATCATCTACTACGTGGGCGGTAGTGGTTCACAGAGTGGGGGGGGGGGTAGCGATAGAGGGTGATGGAGGGTGATGGGAGAGAGAGAGAGAGGTATACAATGGTTCACGGGGTGGAGAGTGAGTGAGAGGTGGCTAGGGTTTCTCTCACCCTCTTTTATATAGTCCAAGGTCCGTAGCGGGCTGCATGTTTGCTAGCGGGCTGGTCTCAATTAATATATGTGGGATTTTTAGCAGGTCCACCTCTAAAAACGGTTCTCATTTTCAGACGATATTTTATCTGTGAATTAAATGGGCTATCTCATAAAATCGATTTTTGTGCCTCTTGATCACCTGTTCAGTCCTTCATTTAGAAATGAACACCCAAAAAAAAAATGGTGGATCGATATGTGTTATATCTATTAACACTTTCAATGCAAATCAATTGTAGCTTGCTAATCAATTTGCTTGGGTCATGTTGGTAGCTAGTTTACATGCTTTCTATCGTGTTCCAAGCAAAATTACTCCAGTGTCACATGCATCCCCTCTCTTTGGATATGACCAGAATAGAAAATAGTGGTGTACGTGCCTTCTCTTGGCGGTTCTACACGTGTACAAGCGAGAAAACTCCTCTCTATCACCAACCTTGCGCCAAACACACAGAAATACCTACGATTACAGCATTTTCTTACTTGGGTGTGTGGCTGGCCTCTTGCCTCGGCTCACCTTGTTTCTAATAATACCACGTCTCCTCCTTATATTACCCTCTTCTCCCATCCACGCGAAAAATTGGGTTCTTCCTTTCTCGCTCGAAGCACCAATTTCACCACAAAAGAAGAACCCTGCTAACTCTTCCAAGAACACAGATGCATTTGTACCAATAATAAAGGTGAAATAAAGCCCATACATACAATAATGGAGACGAAGCTCCGGTGGAGCCGGCCCGGCTCCCTTCTCCTCGTCGCCGCGGCGTTCCTGGCGTCCGCCGCCATGTCGAGCGCCAACATCGGCGACTTCGACGAGCACTGGCAGAAGCGCAAGGAGCTGGCCGAGGCGTCGGTGAGGGAGACGTACAGGCCCGACCCGTACAACGTCACCAACAGCTTCAACGTCGCCGTGCACAGGCATGCATGCACCCCGGCCTTCATCCTTTCCTAGCATCCATCCCTTATTGTTCATCCGCCGTCCGTGTCATTTCATGCAATGTGTACACGCATGCATTGCAGAGCTAGCAGCCCGCGGCGTGCGATGCGGGAGATGCCTCGGAAGCACAAGAGGTCAACGGGCCCGTGCCGGGCGACGAACCCGATCGACAAGTGCTGGCGCTGCCGCAACGACTGGGCGACGGACCGGTTCCGTCTGGCCCGGTGCGCCAGGGGGTTCGGGCACGCGACCACCGGCGGCCTCGGCGGCCCGATCTACATCGTGACGGACCCCAGCGACGGCGACGTGGTGAACCCGCGGCCCGGCACGCTCCGGTGGGGCGTGATCCAGCCCGGCCCGCTGTGGATCATCTTCGCCCGGTCCATGATCATCCAGCTGTCGCAGGAGCTGCTGGTGAGCAGCGACAAGACCATCGACGGGCGCGGCGCGCAGGTGCACATCGCCAACGGCGCCGGGATCACGGTGCAGCTGTCCCGGAACGTGATCATCCACAACCTGCACGTGCACGACGTGGTGCACTCCATGGGCGGGCTGATGAGGGACTCCCCGACGCACGTCGGGTCCCGCACCAAGGCCGACGGCGACGGCATCTCGCTGTTCCAGGCCACCAACGTGTGGATCGACCACATCTCCATGTCCAACTGCGAGGACGGGCTCATCGACGTGGTGCAGAGCTCCACGGGGATCACCATCTCCAACTGCCACTTCACCAACCACAACGACGTGATGCTGTTCGGCGCCAGCGACTCGTACCCGCAGGACCAGATGATGCAGATCACTGTCGCCTTCAACCACTTCGGCAGGGGGCTCGTGCAGCGGATGCCCAGGTGCCGGTGGGGATTCTTCCACGTCGTCAACAACGACTACACGCACTGGCTCATGTACGCCATCGGCGGCGGCAAGGCGCCCACCATCATCAGCCAGGGCAACCGATACATTGCACCACCCAACATCGCCGCCAAAGTGGTGCGTGGGTAACATCAATTCGTTTCGTTTCTTTTCTTGTTTGAGCACATCACCAAGCACCGATACATTGCAGATCACCAAGCACTACGCGGAAGAGGGCGAGTGGAAGAACTGGGTGTGGCACACGGAGGACGACCTGTTCATGAACGGCGCCATCTTCGAGCCGTCCGGCGGCGCGGTCCCCAGGAAGATCAACGGGAACGAGTGGGTCAAGCCCAAGCCAGGCACCTACGTCACAAGGCTCACCCGCTTCTCCGGCACATTGTCCTGCTGCACGGGCAAGCCGTGCTGATAGCTTGAGGCGCATGCAGCTGCCGCCATGGCCGGCCATGCCCGGGGTGAAGTACTGAAAGCTTGTCGCTCTGTGTTTCTTGCAACGAGGGGTATATCCTCTCCTCATGGAAGAAAGCAAAGGACATCCACGTAGGATGGAGGGTAGCCAGGTCGTCGTTTTGCTAATCTTCGTTTGCCTTGAAGTTTTGTTTTGTGGAATTGTTACACTACACTACAGTTTGGTCATTTAATTTTTCAGAGGAACTAGGGAATCCTTTTATCCCAGGTGTATCTGTATACATATACAGGTTGTATAACATGAAGCACCTCTGTTTGCGATTGTTCTAAAATAACATAATAATATTTATATATTGTATTGTTCTACAAGAGATTAAAAGGGTCTGCTCCAGAGTTTCTTTTCACATTTCATTCGTTTAATATAATCTCGTGAGTGTGAAGCATGGATTGAGTACCGATGAAACAAACTCGTAAATTTGACAGATGGATGGTACAGTGACATCACACAAAGAGCACAGGCCAAAAGGATTCATAGTGAAAATATCCAAAAGACCTGATCCAAAAGTTTTCATTGCTGAACTCTGGCTCCATGTCTTTCTCTAGAAGCCTTCCTTCAATGCATAGACTCTGCTTCGGAAAGATGGTGGCAATCTATTTATTGCTGCATCAATGTCCTGCAAAACAGAGCAGTCATAAGATTTAGTTTCTTGGAATATATTACTCTGAGTAAACGCTGCAAAGAATTAAGGCGGTTTAGCTGCAAAATATGCAGAACAAATATAAGAATTTCTCAGAGTCAGAGGAAGCAAACAAACTGACATATTGTCTTGATTGTAGGAGAGTAGAAAAGAGATCAACATATTGTGCTTCATTATAAGTACAACTTAAGAGTAGGAAAGAGATGCTTGCGTTGTGAACATGTGAAGCTATTTCAATTAAAAAATAGAACTGGTGGAAACTAAGCATCATAACTATGAGTTGTCAACTAAAAGTAGTGAAAATGGGCTCAAATGTAACAACAAAGATTTTTTGTCCCAAACAAACTGGGGTACATGATATAATTTTTTTTGAGAAAGGAAATAATATATGCAATAGTAGTAATAGTAATAATTAACATGAAAACATTATTGAACTGGACATAGCATTTCAGCAGAGATAATTGAAGCAATGGTTATATATTAGCTCACCTCAGCAGTATATCGATTTGAAAAGTGATTCAGTAGAATAGCTTTGTTTTTAAGCTTGTCAGACAGACTCGCAATCTGCATGCATTGTCAACATAAAGTTTAGGTTAAATATGAAGGGTGAATGTTAATAACTGAATGAACAGAGTTTGGAATAACCTCAGACAAGTGAATGTGCCCTTTTTCTCTTGCATCCTCAATTGATTTGGAGTCATCAATAAAAGTACTCTGAAATTTACAGAGGACATTGTAAATTAAACATAGGAACAGGTCAGAACCCAAAACAGGTAAAAAAAAATTGACAGAAGATATAACATTCAGCACAGGACATATTATAAACTCTGACAGAGTAACCTCCCCTTTCTCAAGCTGAAGAGCAACAACAGGCCAACAACAACAAATTAATCACGAAGTGATAACCGATAAGAAGGCATACCTCGACCACAAGAATCTTTGCCTTCAACACATCTGCATTATCAGGATCAAGGATGAAATCTGACATTGTATCTCCAGAGAAAGCAATCTCAGGTGTTGACTCTACATTCGTAATCTGTGCACCATGAATTGTTTGAAAAGTGCATACCACATCAATAATTCTATACTACTAGATTGTACTCAAGTTTGATTTCAACATCCAACAGGGCAGACAGACCTCTACTCCAGACTTTCTGAGATTACTGAGCTCTTTCCCAGGGAGGCCACCATACTGGTCCTTGAGCTTCTGCTTCACCTTGTATATCACATACCCCTACACACACATCACACATCACACGACTCAAAATCCATGAAAGCATCGTAAGAAGTAATTCTCAAAATCATTCAAGAGCACGCAGAATCGACAGAGTTTGAAATTCCATCCGCCCTCACCTGGCTGGGTACGACGTGGTAGGTTCTGAACGCCCTCACCCTGAGGTCCTTGGTGAGCTGGTACTCCTCCCCGACGTCGAGCGGCACGAGCTTGTGGTCGAGGTCGGACTGGTCCATGGCGCGGTGCACGTCGAAGAGCCTCCGCACGAGGTCCGCGAGGCAGGCGGGGACGAAGACGGTGGGCGGGCGCATCCGCTTGCGGCCCCGCGTGGCGACGTACATCGGGAGGCCCCCGATGTGGTCCATGTGCGCGTGGGATACGAAGAGGAAGTCCTGCGAGACGGCGAACGGCGGGCACCGGCCGATGTCGAAGACGAGGTTGAGGGAGGGGAATATGACGCAGGTCTCGTGCCCGGCGATGGAGATGCCCTCCACGCGGTAGCCCTCGATCTCCAGCCACTGCTGCGTCGCCCTCGGCCGCCCGGGGGCGGGTGTGGAAGCGGAGGTTGAAGTCGCCGCCGCTAACTCGGCCTCAGACTGACCGCCCTTCGCCATGTCGTCGCCGCCGCCGGCGAGGGGAGGGGTAGAAGGTTTTGGAGGTAGGTGGCACTGTTTGCGAGAAACCCCTTTTTTATAATTATTACTAGAGAAGCCCCGTGTTCGGTTCCAATTTGGGAGACACGGTCACAAGGGTCATCATCAGTGAAACTTCAGCTGTCGTTTGGATACTGGGATACAGGGAATGGCGCGTGTTTAGCTGGGTGAATTGGAGAATTTGGAATTTTCGAGAATTAGTGTTAATCAGGGATTAATTAGGGTCAAAACGAAAACTGTGCAATGAACCAATAGTTAGCCCATATCTCCAGTAAATTTCCTTTTTGGGATTTAGATGGGAACTAAACACGCTACCCTCGATGAATAGTTAGAGTATCTCCACCCCATTACACGCGTCGTGCTATTCATCCCCCATCCTCCAAATCAGGCTGTAAGTGCCACGTTAAATGGATCAAACAGCCCATAGTGCACCCCAACGAGAGTGCTGCCCCATGCTCCAAATCAGCCTGTAAGTGCCACGTTAAATGGATCAGCAGCCTCGCATAGTGTCGTAGTGGCCTACAGAGGAAGTACAACCTTATCTAACACTTTTGCAGAATCTAACAGTGAAGCACGCATGGCAGAAACGGAGCAGCTGTTTGTGAAGAGAGAGAGCTGGAGAGAGAAAAAGGTAGCTGCATGATGTCCTTTTTACACTGCAAAAACCGTAAAAGACTGCAACAAACTTTAGTTGATGGTTGATAGATGATAGCCCTGAAATTGTTTGCTGCACATGTGCTTTTGTTTGCTGCTAACATGTCTATCCGTTGGGCACGGTACTCGCCCTGTTAGTTAGGTCGTTTTCATAAATTTTTAGTCAAAATAATATTTTTACTCTAACATGTCTAATCTACGTTACGTGCGTTCGTTTCAGCTGCACTGAATAGGCTGGAGGCTACCCCAATACCTCTTTTCTGTTTTATCAGGAAGATGCTGCAGCAGATCATCATATCTAATCCCCAATACATAGTATGACAGTTGGAGCCCACATGTAAGTGTGCTAGTTTATTTTCTTTTCCTTTCTTTCTTTTATTTGTTTCTCTACTTCCATCGATAGATCTAGATCAGAGATCGGGACCGTGGTCTCCGCGTTCGTCTGGTCAGCTGGCCGCGCGGGTCTTGCAGGTCCCGTAGCTTGGGTAGCCCGCCGCGCCGGCACGACGCGCCCGCAGGGAGTGCAGCAGCTCTAGCATGCCAATGGGGCCCAAGCCGGCGCTCCGAGCACGCCTATGGTGAAGCCCGACGGCCGCGCCTTCGAGGGCCTTCTACGCCTGCGCTCAGCGGGCTGCCGCGATACAGGCTCCGTCGTCTCCTCCTCGTCGGCGCAGTCGTCTTCCTCGTTGTCAGCCAGTGACTATGCGACGGCTTTCTCCACGACAACGACGAGGTTCCCAACGGCGGACATGCGCGAGAGAGACGCAGATCGGCCGTCGAGCCTCGTCCTCGAGCTGGAGCGCCGCCTGCCCAGGCAAATCGTCCTCGAGCTGGAGCGTTGGTACTTGTTGCAGCCATGGCGCACGGCGAGCTCCGGTGTGGGCAGCGAGGAGAGAGGTGGAAAAAGTAACGTTTATTATGGAGTCCAGCTTATGGGGGAGATACAACTCCCCTTCGTTCGAGGGATGACGAGGAAGATATTGATGCCCCCCACCCACCCAAAAAAAAAAGGTCAGTGGATTAGTGTGATAGTTTTACGGGAACGAGAGGTGATATTGCGAGAGGTTAGTGGATTAGTGTGATAGTTTTACAGGAACGAGAGGTGATATTGCGAGACTGCTGGAGATGCTCTTAAAATTAAATGAGATGTAAAAAATAGATGACTAGGATTAAATATCTCTATCCCTGTCACATCGCCATCCCCATCCAAACGTATAATCACGGTTCATGTTTTGGGTACAGGAGTATTTCTCAGCGGGACTTTGGATCCAAGCTCATTCTCAGATTTTCAACTTGATTAAAGACCTTTTTTTATATAAGTGCTAATCATTAGCTATCTAAAAATTAGTTAAAATTAGCTCTAGTGTATCCGAACAAGAGGGCTAATAGGTGAACGATAATGCTTCCATGTGGGCATCCGTCGGTCTGGACGCAGTGCGCCACACTCAGCCGCGCCGCTTCCGCCCACGCTGCTCGCTTCAGCATGCGACGCGCCTCGCCCGCGCCCTTGCTCCCTCCCGTCAACCGTCGCTCGCCCCGCCGTCGCGCGCAGGATTCGATTCGCACGTTGCGCGACTAGCTTGTCGTGGCCATCCCTCTCTCGCACCATCCTGCGCGGCGTTGCCTCTGCTCTCTCCATCTCTCGCTCTCTATCTCACGTCCGATGATAGCAGAGAGCACCTCCCCAACCTCTGCCCCAACCCCCAACAACGCCATTGGGATGCCTCGCCGCAGTCGCCCCTGCCGATGGCCGCTGGGCGCACGTGCTTGGGAGCCTCGGGTCGTCCTCGGCCGAGACAAGGGCACCCACGAGCGCGGGCGGATGCTAGTGGTGCTCTCGTGCCACCGCTCGTCGCTAGCTTGCACCCCCGACAGCCGTAATCGACCAGCGCGGGGTTGCCCACCCTTATGTTGCAAATATATGTTTCAAGTGTTTCATATGGATGTTGCAAAAGTAGATCAAGGATGTTGCACATGTTGAAAGTGTTTCAGAGACATGATGCTAGAGTTTGTTTAAAATATTTCATCTGTTTTAGACATATGTTGCAAGCGTTTTGATTTTGATGTTGTATATGCTTCACACATGTGTTGCAACAATATATTTCAAATATTTCATCTGTTTTAGTCTTATGTTGCAGCAAGTGTTTTCATGTTGCAAGTTGTAAACGTTTTATCTAGATGTTGCATATGTTTCACATATATGTTGCAAGTGTATGTTACAGATATTTCATCTCTGTTTTAGACGTATGTTGCATTCAAGTGTTTCATGTTGCACGTGTTTCATGTTGTTCTGAGAGTTAGGGGGCGCGGAGAGAGATGGTGGCATGGCACGGGCACCGGGGAATGAGGCACTGTGAGTTAGGGGCCGGTAGTCACGGTGCGCGTGCGGGATGGGGCGTACGGCTAGGCGGATAGGGGCAGGTTGAATCGAGGCGGGCAAGACAGACTACACGTGTGTGGCAAGTTGTCCGGATGCATGGGTGCAACGACGAGGGCTAGGGGGTGCGCGTGCGGGCACTACTACAGTAAACTTTACCGAGGTGGGCAAAGTTGATTAATGAAGATGGGCAAACCGCCCGCCTCCGTTCAATGGTCATGGTTAATCCGGCCTTAACGGAGGCGGTCAAAATAAGCTAACCACCTCGGTTAATAGGTCACCCTAATCCGCCCGCCTCCGTTAAATGATTAACCGAGGTGGGTGCTTAAGGCCGCCTGCCTCCATTGAACTATTAATGGAGGCAACAATTATTAATTGCCCGCCTTCGTTAATCATTTTCTAGAATAAAAAATACTTTTTCAAATTTGAATTTGAATTTTAATTAAAACACAAACAAAGCAAAAAATATGCATATAGAGGGCAAACAAATATTACATTCCTTCATGTATCGTCCTTATTGTACCACGAACCAACATTTGAGGCGATCATGTTAGGGCAACCGCCTCGGTTAATCCATGTTAATCGAGGTGGGCGCGTTAGGTGCATCCCGCCTCGATTAAGGATTAACCGAGGCGGTTGCTAGGCCGGCTGCCCGGCCACCCAATAATGGAGGCGGACAACCACCCAACTGCCTCCAAGGGCATTTTTCAAATGCCTTGGGAAAAGTTTTAGTGTAGTAGTGGGGACAGGGCGAATTAGCGGACGGGGGTAGGCTGCGCGGGTGTCCGGACGCGAGTGCCATCCGGGCGTCCGGATGCTAGCCATGCCGATAGGTGAACTATTTTTTAGTCAAGTCTTCAACTAGTTGTTAGCAAATTAGCTAACAAACCATAGCTAATTTTTAGCCTAGCTAGTAATTAGCCATGTGTATCAAACATGCCCTAAATGAGGGGTTACTTGTTGGTCCCAACAAGTAATTTTTGTGTATGTGGAGGGTGTTAGAAGCTCATGTCTACCAAACTTTGAATCGAAGCTCATCTCTCTACCGGGCAACCTCCGCAGCACCAAACAAACACTCTCCATGTTTTCACTCATTAATTCTCTAACCCGTCACGTGGAGTTTCATTTCACAGAAAGCGCAAGCGGTTTCGCAACGGCGCGAAGGGTGTCTTCACATGCTTCGCCCTTAGCCGTGCCCGGGACGACAATATTTTGTCTCTGAAGTGGCAGATCACTACTAAATCTAGGTGACCAAGAACCGCGGCAAAGTCATCTCTTCGAGCAAATCTGAATGAGTGACAACGTTCGTGGGGCTAAGTTGATCGTGAAAGTGCCCGATGAGAGACAAATATAATGACGGTTTTGAGGGAGTCAAATCTGATTTAGAGTCATGTATGCTAAAAGGACTAGGATGCCCCTGCTTGGCTAGGAATATACTTAGGATTTTGGTTAGGTTGAGGGGCATTTCTGTCCGCTAAGTTGTAAACTGGGTGCTATAAAAATATAAATAGTAGCCTCATCACAAATAAAGGTTGAACATCACTGTTTATAGTGAACCACCTCGTTATTTCACCTTTGTCCCTCGCTTCCCTCTTCAAGTTCGGCTAGCAATTGTCAAAGACTTCGGTTGAGGGCAACATTGGGCAACCACCCATAGTTGTTACTCGAACTTTCCAATGGTCCCCGAAAAGAGTAAGGTGATGATGGATAATCCAGGGGTTAAAAATACCTAACCCATGCCACCCATTCCTTGAGGCCCAAATGACACAAATGTAGACATGAAACCCACTCAATGGGAAACTGACCCGAAGGGTACCCCAATGGCAACGCAATCGAAGATGGCAATCAAGACCTAGAAAGTGAAGACGCAAAAACCATCAACGAAAACTAAACACTAGCAAAACTATAAGCATACAAGTAAGAAATCTAG